ATAAATAAAATCACCCTTTTGATTATGAAAACAAGGCCGAGCTATGAACAAGTTCTTGCTGTGTCATCCTGACCTATACAATTAGAAATTCTGAGTGCTATTAATTTTCTTGCCATCTTCATACACTTGCACTCTTATTTGAGGCTTTCTCCAGGTGTGTGATGTTACAGAGGGCTGTTCTGAAGGGGGAGGGGGGAGGGGAGGAGGTAGTGACTTTGCATGTTTGCCTCATGCAAAGATGGAGCCTCTTCAGAGGTTGAAAGGAGGCCTGTTATCATCAGCTTGAGTTTGCCACATAGCCTGACGACACAAATAGCCGGCTATATGCTCGGGAAATCGTCCCAAGATACCTTGGGCTAGTTTGCAAAATAGAACGCTATTTGTCCTGTTCATTTTCACCAGCCCAAAGACTGGCACTATGCTCGAACACTGAGCAAATTCTCAAGCTCGAGTTGATGAAGACGCGATTTGTAACTTCAGGGCTAATTTCCTGAATCAGAAATAGTGGGCTATTTGGCAAACTCAAGCTGATAAAGACAGGCCTAATGTGTATGTTTCATTTTTAGGGTTAGGCAATACAGTATATAGGTCTAGAGCCAGAAGGGTGTTTACTCTGTGTTGAAATAATTTAATTACAGAATTTATTGTATTAGAACTGTAGATAAAAGTTGAATGATTACAGTTTGTATGACAGTAATGTCTAGAGCCAAGAAATCCCCCCCCCCCGCCTCTCTCTCTCTCTCTCTCTCTCTCTTGTCTCTCGTCTCAATCTCAAGTCTTCAATCCCTATATTTTGCTCTCTTTCAACTAACTTTTTAACTTGTCAATACAGTGCTCAACAACGACTTGCCATGTAGTCATGTTGTGGTGTGCAGAAAAATATAGGCCCAGGCTTTGAGAATCTTATGACGAACAAATGTATGTAATCTATAGAACAGGGGAAACTAGTCGACGCATTTGGCAAGACGAAAAGAGGAGGCGAGAAAAAAACTGCTCGGCTTCGTGTCCGACTTGGCCTGGTGCATGCTTTATTGGGCATGTTGACAACGGAGGAAACGGAATGAGATCTTGGGGAATACGTAGGAGCGTTTTATGGAGATGGGGAGGGAAATATTGGCAGCGAGTGGGGACGGGGAGAGAGGGTTATCGTGGGAAACCCGGGGAAGTCATTCGGTGACGAAATGTCAGGACAAGTTTCTCATTATAAGGCATGTGATTGATCAATCAATTAAGGGGGATCAGTCATGTATGGGCAGTATAGTCTGCGCACCACAGTTTTGAGGTAAACAACTTGTTAAATGGAGCCTCTGAAAAATGAGCAGGATACATGTATACTCGAAACTTCATTTGTTTTTAGTGCTGTGAACCTCTTGGCATTTAAACTAGATTTAGAGATTTAGCATTAAGCACAAACCTTGAATGTATCAAACATATACACTTATGGATATTTTTGAAGTGCTCTCAGAAGCAGATCATTAATGAAGCACTTAGTTTATTAGTATGTTATTTGTATTGTCAAGGATAGAATATTTTAGGGATGAAGACAACATTAATCCTTTTTTAAAATCGACTTTGTCCCCCTTAAATTTTTAATTTTGTAGCTATTTGGGTTCAGTTTAAATAATGATAATAACCAAAGAACTAGTTATGCTCTAACAAAGTATTTTGGATGCAATAAAACAAGATTGAGATGATGGATAGAGAAGATGGGGAAAGAAGAAGGGAGAGATAATGGGATTGTTATGTGTGTCCGGCAGAAGAGCAAGAATGGTTGCACTGCCAATTGATGACCATAACAAATGTATTGAAGTTTGGCTTTTTTGTAACTCCACTTTATATAAATCAAATCAAATCAAATCAAATCAAATCAAGTATTCTCATTTTAGTCTGAACATTGTCTGAAATATCTCAATAAATAGGTTTAAGCTGTTACTATATTATAAGTTATGAATACTTCTTCATGTGTCCCTGCACTGGGGCATGAAAATGAAATGCACAGTGTAAGGTTCAAATACTGTACATGTGGAACAAGTAAAAGTCAACATTATCGAGAGACATTTATGAAAAACGAATGATCGCTCAGAAGTCGGAAATGACTTGATGTCTCAATTCATAATCTGAACATTTGCCCAGCGTTAGCTGAAAATATGGAAAAAGATGTTGGCCTCGAGACTCAGACAGACAGACTCATAAAGTTTGTACTTTCCAAGTTCAGCCTTGAAAAAGAGGTGACCCGAAAAGGGCTGTTACCATGGCAACTCAGGAATTCAGGAAGTATAAACTTAACCTTGGTGGCTCAAAGAAATTTGTTTTGAACTCTGATAGGGATGCCTTGGCTTTATGGTGTTATTTCTTATTTTCTCCTGCTACACCTCCTTTCTCCTTCCCTTTCTCCTCCTTTTTCATTCCCTTTCTCCTCTTTTTTCTTTTCTGCTCATAGTGGTACCTCCATCTTTCTCTTTTACTTTTTCTTCATCTTTCTTTCTTTATTTTCTGTCAAAGTTTACCCATTTTTGTTGAAGGGAAATAAGTTGTTAACTTAAAAGAGACAAAAATCAGATTGCAGGGAAAAGTGTTTTATACTTTAGAAATGAATCAGATAATCGGTGTCCTCTTTATCCTGCATTAGGTTTTTTATTTTCAGTCTCCTTTGATGATCCTACATTTGATACAGGGTTTTCATCGGGAGGGTACAAGTTTAGGTACAAGCATGTTACTCGTGGGAGGGGAGTTGTTGCCTGCTAGTCAAGACGACTGTTTGTGACTCATGGACATGTTCTAAATAGATTGTTTCCCTTTCTGCTTGTCATCATGTTTTCTCTGGTTTCCTGGATTGTCGACTGCACTCTCCTTAAGGAGAAACAAAAAAAACTCCCTCTTGGTGCGTTCCCACACAAATTAAATCGGTCTGTTCAGAGCCCAAAGAGCATCAACTCTGTGTTTATAAGTTGACAGCCTTCTGGCTCCAAACAGATAATAGGGACTTTTAGATTTGCACATCAACATAGTGGACTGCTACTTGTGACGTCCTTTTAAGGCACTGGCAGTGTGCCTTATAAGGACGTCATGATGCCTTAAAGGATGTAGTGGTCCATAATGTCGACGTGTGAATCTAAGAGTCCCTATTAAATAAGCTCTTGGCGAGAGGAGTCCTGTAATGTTGGGCACTTTTATACAGATTTGTTGCAGGATTAAAATGTCGTTTTGTGGCTGCTCAGTATGACAACTCTTTCCTGGCATGTTTACACACAAATTTAAACTGATATGGTACAGCTTCATGTTATGAACGTGTGTTAGGAGACACAGAGGAGAAATAGTTACATGTGCTTTTTCCCCAAAACTTTAACTTGAATAATTTTGCTTCCAAACAACAGTTTGCCTACCACAATTTATTACTTGAAAACTTTGTATTAGAGGAAGAAATAAGATATACAAGTGGCAAACACTACTGTAAAATGTGTTGTAACAGGTTTCGCTGTAAAAGTTATATGCACAAGTATGCTGTGTTTTACTCTTAGATTGAACAGTATATGGAATGAATATTATTATAATATACTCTTCACATTACCTTACTCGCTACTTTCTTGAGGTTTGATGCAGATTTTGATCAAGTTGAAATCGGACCATAGACTACCTGCTTAAACTTTTAACTAAAATGGGATATTTCTGTGTAAGAATGAATGAGCCAGATGCAAAATTATACCTACATTTACATCATGTTCAGGACGTTACTCTCTTGCTAATATGAGATTATGTAGGAGGATTAGTGGAGCTTCCCTTTACATTACAGGTATTATTGTTCATAGAGCCATTTATTGGATTGGTTACAGACCACTATACCCATGGACATAATTACCAGGGATAGGGGTTTCATTTGGGAATGACTACAGACTTTCACTTCTGACCACAGGTAGGCTTGTGGTAGTTGGTGGTTTCAGTATGAGTTCAAATTTAACTGGAAAAGGACTTACTAGGTGAATTAGCTAACAAACCAGTAACACATTAATGGATTTTCACGTCCAGTGTCAATAGCCCCCCCCCCCCCCTGTGATATTTTTTCACACCTCGACTAAGCCAAATATGAACGGAGCAATGTGGTGCTTCCAACTCGCCAATTGGAGTGTGTAATAAACACCAATTTGTGGCAACCAAAAAGCCTTGGTTTTCAGGAGTGAATGGAAATTGAATATGTGAGGATTGATTAACATGCCACATTGCATTCTCTTCCTCTTCCTCCCTCATCCCACACCCCCCCCTTACCCCCCCCCCCATCCCTCCAAAATGGAGGAAATGTTTAAGAAAAGTAGAAATTGCATGGGGCATGTAGCGCACATAGTGTGATCACATGCATTTATCAGGCAATGATTTTTTTTTCTTATGATATGAAACTTATCCGAAATACTTATGAACATAGAAAATGAATCGCTCAGAATATTTTGACTTCATATGATAGATATAAAGCAAGTATTTTCACATCAGATTTTCAGTAAATGAAGTTATGTACATGTTAAGTAGTTATTTAGGATATTTCAAAGTTGACCAGGATCATGCTGTATTTCCTTATTATTACAGCTCTTGTAATTGCTGTGGCTTTAAAGTACTTACTACCACATTATGATCTACATGTACACGTATATGGTTTCGTTGAGTGGAATTTAATCTTCTAATTGGCAATGTTCACCCCCATTTGTGTAATACTGAACCAAATGATATCGTTTGAGCATTATTTTGCTAGTCAAGGCTAAAACTGAATTTCCTCAATGCTGAGAAGAATTGGAAAACCATTGTTGGGTTATTTGTATCAAGTCTTAGTTTTTCTTTCACTATTTTGTTCTTCTTTGAGGTGTATACATGAATCAGTTTGCGTAGAGTTTTCTTTAGAGTATTTGCAAGTATGTATGTCCTGGAAATATATTATAAATGATGAACATTTTGCAACAGTATTTTGATTGTACACTAAATCTGATTTTCTCTTTTTCTTGTCTTGTTTTTTGCTACAGATGTCATCTCAGATCCATCCCTTAATACTCAGGAAGACAAGAAACACCAGGGCAGAAGGCATCATGGAAAGAACAAACCCAAGTACAAGAGTGCCATGAAAGTGAAGATCACAGACAGGGTACGCCAAAAGAGAGAGGCCAAAGCCCAGAGAGAGAAGCAGAGCAAGCTCTCACCGGAAACTCTTGGTGCCTTGCAGGTTGAGGACATTGTTCTGAAGCCAGATCACGAGGAGGTTGTGGCCAAACTTGAAGACATTGTGAAAGAACCAGTTCCAGATGTGATTTACAAGGACAAGTATGATATCATAAAGGAGCGAAGGGCACGCATGTCAAAGGCCACACAGGATCAACGGTCACTGTCGCCAAGCAAAACGACCAAAGATAGCGTGACGACTAGTCCAAAGAAGCGACAAAGGCACTCTTCTTCAGGGAGTCAGAAGTCAGACACCAATGTAACAGTACTGCGCAACTCAGAAAGTGGAGAGGAGGGTGCCTTGAAGCAGCAGGCTTTGGAAGCCCTGCTAGAGATTACGGGGAAGGAGTTCACAAGCATGAACAGTTTTGGCACGGAGCAGCAGCAAACCGTGCCCACGTTGAAGGAGGCCGTTGTAACTACTCGTACTCCTTCGGCTGTAGCGAAGCAAGATAAAGAAGTGTTGAAGAGCGATGATGATGTATCGCGGTTAATGCAGTTTGCAAACAATGCGCAAATGGTGCAAGCCGATAGGATAAGGATCCATCAACAGAAAACTGCAAATCAAAGCAAAGAGGCTGACTTTGGACACTTCAAACTTGTGCCTCATCGAAAGGAAAGAGGAGATTTAGAGAGCCGCGCTAGTCAGAAGCAAGGAAAGCATATGTGTGATTATTGTGGCCGCAGGTGTTCCAAGCCTAGTGTACTGAAGAAACATATCCGGTCCCATACAGGGGAACGACCGTATCCTTGCACACCTTGTGGAATCTCATTCAAGACCAAAAGCAACCTCTACAAACACTGCAAATCTCATGCACATGCAGCTAAAGCAGGTTCTTCAGGGACAATCCCAGATTTGAAGTCATTCGACTCTGAAAACGAGAGTGGGTCAGACGAGACAGATACAGACGAAGAGGGAAAGGATATTGGAGAAGAGCGGAGAGAAACTCCTGTGGAGAATCCAACACAGAGTACCTCGTTACGGCTTGATCAAGAGAAAAGCATGAACATGACACAGACCGGTGTCCAAGCCCTTATGAATGGGGGCCGTACTTCAATGCCAGATAGCCACCCTACTTTTGTGCCATCCAGTAAGGCTCAGGCTTCTCCTATCGCCAGTCAAACTGGGAACAGAATGTGGGAGACCCTATCCAATTCTCCACATCTTGCTGGAAACCGTAGCTCTCAGGACCTTCACATGCTGTCGCAGCTGTCAACAGACATTTTGAACGGCACAAAGGGAAGACAACCAAAAGATAGATTGCAAGGATCTTTTCTAAAGGGTTCTGAATCTAGACACTCTAGGCCTAGAAACAAGATGGAAGAAGGCATACCATCTCCCAGGCCTACTGTAACTTCTACAAGTCAAGAAAGACCAGATGCATCATCACCCATACCAGAGAGCAACTCAACAGATCAAATAATGATCCCACTTAAGAACTTCAACATTGTGAGATCAGGGGGTCATTACCACTTTCAAATCCCAGTGGAAGGGATTCCTGGTTTGTCGGAAGATGTGATTAAACAACAATCAATGTTTGTAGAGGAGAGCAAGGAATCAACTAAGGAAAGGGGAGAAAAATCACGGCCCCCGCTTAATTCTCCCTCCACCCAAATCAAACTGCAGCAGCACATACAAAAACTCATCTCCCAAAATGAGGCAATAGTAGATGATTCTGACCTGGAATCTGTGAAACCGAGAAGACCTAGTTTTTCTTATCGGGAGAGTATGACTAGCACCCCACCCCAGCTACCTGCCAGCGGCGTATTAGATGTGCGTAATGACTCAAAGAGTGCAGCAGAAAGTAGCAGTATAACCATGGAAACAGGGAGAAGGTCAGAGTTGGCTGAGCAAACTAATTTAGACAGCAAGCAGGAAGTAAGAGGAAATCATGATAGACAGCGGGAAGCACAGACCCTTAAGAGCAGCCAGTACAGCGCACATCTGCACACGGGTCATTCGAGGCACGGGCTCTCTTACAAGGCAGCGGAAGCAGGCATCAATGCAGGCCATAAGCTGCCAACTTCCTCGCCAGTTACTCTTCAGCAGGCAGTGCCAGGGGATAGTAATATAATTAGGAATATACTGCTGGAGCACAAACGTACTCAGCAAGCGACACCTGCTAGCATGCTAGGCCAGAGTTTGCCCATGGATCGTCAACAGTACTCACCCCTCTGGTCTCCTGCCCAGATGCATCTTGCACCGTGGATGCTCAAGGATGCTTTGCCGGGTGGTTTGAGGTATCCTATGCCAGTCATGTATCCCCATCCAGCAATGATGCAGCACATGCCCAGTGAGCACTTACCTGCAACCTCACAAAGTCATCAATTCATGAAGGAAAGTGCAAAGAATAGTCATCATCACTCTGAAACGGGAAAGTCTGGTCACAAACGCAAGAAGTGCAAATCTGAGAGTGATGCTTCTGGTTCCCATGATTCACACCATTCACGTAAGAAGTCACGGAAGCATCACGATCATCCAACGATTAAAGAAGAAGAAACAAAAGGTTTGCCTGTTTCTAATGCTGCACCCAGTCATTCCATGCTGCCGATGTTTTCTCCTCCGTTTCCAGGTCCAGATGGTAACCAAGCTGCCTCCCAACTACCTTGGCTTCATGCTTCATTGCCGAAGGGTACCTCAACCCCCCTTCGCTCTCCCTATTCCCCAAAGCCCTCAGCCAAGTCACTTGAAGGACATTTTCCTGGAGTATCTGTCATTCAACATACTCCCACCACTCCACATATGCCAACTCAGTTCCCATTACTACCAGGACAACAAATGACTTCATTTGGGCAAGAGAAAGGTGAAGGGAAGAGAGAATCACCTGCAGGCTTAACACACTGGACCAAGGAAATGAGAAACTTGTATCAAGCGTCTCCTGGAAACATGAGGAGTGACCTTCGACTTGCCAGTCCTTCAGTCCCACATTCACCCCGTCCTGAGGGCCTACTGAAGGTTGCCCCACCTCAGTCACCCCTCACGCCGAAGACCTTTAGTCTCGCCAGTCCAATGATTCCTATCCCATCTTCAACATTGCAGGAGAGAGGTGACCAACCAAAAGATCTACCCAATCTTCAACAAATGCCAGTGAATGAAGCCCTTGCCAGGAAGAAGAAAAGCTTCACCTTGGCTCTAGATGACAACAGCGCCAGAGCTAGTCTTCAAAAGCGCAGGAATCTGCCAGCTATCCCAGGATTGAACATGAGTCCAGGAAGATCTGTTCCTACAAAGAGAACTCCAAGTGAACAAACTCATGCCTTGGACTTGACAGCAAAGATTCAGTCCATGGGATCACCCATGTCTGCTAAAATCCCAAGGGTTGAGATTGCTGCTCGATCACCAGCCTACACACCAACTGAAGGGGGTAAGAAATTTCCCAAGTCACCTATGAAATTTGGAGCTGGAGCTGCAGCTAGGCACAGACTTAGTCTTGATCTAACGCAGCCTCTAACAGCAGTAGTAAAGGGTGCTTCAACTCCTGACGGAGTAAAACCATCCCCGAAGATTGATCCAAGAGTGTTGCTGTCTCCTGAAGCATTGTCTATTGCAGAATCTGTAATGAGGATGTCCCAGTCACCACTAAAAGCTAAAACGCCAAGTACACCAGTTGATGCTGCTAGAGAACTTGGCCGGCTTGTTGCTCATGCCTTCCATAATGCCGGTGGGAGCATCAAGAGTGTTCTGACGACATCCGATGAAGGAATGATTGTTGGGCCTATAGCTACACCTACTGCTGAAGGTAAACCACAATCTAAATATTTCATCTTGCCATCTCCTTCTTCATCGCATGCTCCTAGTTTCCCATCAAGCTCCTCACCCCGGTCTGAGAAGTCACCCTTGACCCCAACTGACACCCTAAGTCCTCAAGGAAGAACACCATCTGGGAAAAGAGATGCTTCCTTTGAGCTGTTCAAAGATGAGGTTTATAGTGAGCAAGAATTACACGAGAGAACAGATGAAGATGGTGAGCCATCAGAAGAATCCAACAACCTGACAAGCCAGGAGCCGTCAAAACCATCATTAGCTGACCTCCCCACAAAAGGAGATAATTCTATTGCTGATCAAGTGTTGAAAGCTCTTACTCCAGTTTTACAGCAGGGGAAGGTTCTTACTCCAATCATGCAGCAAGGAAAGGATTTTAATCCAGTCATGCAGCAAGGCCCACGCAAAACACCAAAGAAACTTGGGAAGGACCTAGCTGATTGGTTTAGCAGTGTCAAAGTCAACAAGGCAGGAAGTGGACCTGCCCAGGCACCAACATTCTTGTATGCCAATATCTCATCTAGAATGAAAGGGGTCGCACAGGTCACAGATTGCACCTCGAGATGTAGCCAACCTATGTATGTGACGCAGGGATCAAATGTTAAAATTTCCATGTATTCAAACTGGAGGCCAGGTGGTAACACAAAGCATCCTCTGGGGATCTCTTGGAGAGAACATCTCGGGCTGTACAACTCAGGTATGAACAAGGAAAACATCAAAGATGTCGTCTCCAGTATTAGTCCGTCTGGAGGAGGTATTCTGACCCACTCCTCAGCCTGGAACATGTCACTAGAAAGGATCAAGGCTGTGAGTGAGGAACTGCAGAAGCACCCAACTGGGAAACCCATTCTTACTCCAACAGAAGCTTCAGGGGGTGCAGAAACCCCATTATCTTCCCATGAAAGTGAGATCAACATGGAAAAACCTGTGAAAGGGAAAGAGCCAAAGAGGATACCCATCTTTGAAGGGGGCTTCAAGTCCAATGAAGAATATGTGTATGTCAGAGGACGTGGCAGAGGGAAGTACGTCTGCCAGGAGTGCGGAATAAGGTGCAAGAAACCCAGTATGCTGAAGAAGCACATCCGCACCCATACCGACGTGAGACCATTTCAGTGCAGTGTTTGCAGTTTTGCATTCAAGACAAAAGGCAATCTGACAAAACACATGAAATCAAAAGCCCATACAAAGAAATGCTTGGAGAATGGTATCAATCCTTCTGACTTGGAACAGGAGCATGGCATTGATTCCAGTATGTATGAGGATGGTGATGATCATCAGTATTCTGATGCAGATGATAACGAAGATACAGACTCAGCAGATGAGGATTCTGAGGAAGAGGAGATGGATGATGGAATGAATGAAGAGATGGAGATTGATGATCTCCCTGAGGAACACCAAGATGACCATGCTGAGGGTGATGATGTCTTTCATCCTGGCAGGCTCAAGAGATCGTACAGTGAAATCTTGAAACCTCATGATCTTGCAGATTCAAAGGATGACCTGATGCATGCCTCCAAGCTTACACGGTCAGAGGTTGTTTGCAAGCTCTCCCAACATCTCACCAACAGACAACGGGCCCACATAGGACAAGACAGGGGACATCCTCCACTCACAAAATCTCAGAGCCTATCTCATCTTCCAACTCTGAGGGAAGGGTTTGGTTACAGAAGTTCATCCAGGAAATCCCAGCCACCTCCTGTACTGGACAAGTATGGACATATTGTCGCTATGGAGTCCTTTGCTCCACGCACCAACCAATATCGACTTGCCACTGGGAATACTTCAATCATGGTTCGTTCATCTTCAACAGAGAGTACCTCATCAGATTGTGACCATACTATGAAAGATTCTTCCTCTGTAAAACCTCCTGATATAGATATGATAGATGAAGATGTAGCCCATAGAAAGACTCCACCGTCCTCTGTTGGAAGTGATGAAATATCCTCTGGTAGCGCATCAGTTGAATCCTCAGGTTTAATCAAAGTATCAAAGACCCAAGATGAAGTAATTACAAAAGTATCGGCAAGGCCTCTAAGAACAGATGAAGATAGTGTACCTCTTCCAGGTGCTGTTCATGTAAAACCGCATGAGAACCTCATCAGGAGGTATGAAAAGCCAGACTCAAGGATGCGCTACTATTCACCAAGCTCCAGGTTTGAAATGATGCCTCCAACTGCTCCTCCTGTTATTGAACCTGTATCAGACGATGAGGGAGAGGTAGGAAGCAAAAATGGCAATCCACAACCTGTTCCATCATCTAGCATACCTTCATCAAGCCCCTATCAGAGGACAACGATGGAAGCCTCAGGAAATGCCATCAAGCAGCTGCTCCTAGCCAAACCACCCATGTGGCCCTCGCCTGATGATAAGGCTCCGCTTCATAATTACATATCACCTTTCCTCCCTCCATCTTTTTCAATGCACAGTGCTCCTGTGCTGTCTCCAACTCATCTGAGCCCGTTCTCTCCTGGACCACTCCATCGTCTAGTGTCCCCAATGCTTCCTTCCAAGATGTTTCAGTTACCTCCAACAATCCTACCGATGCACCTGCCATCAAGTTCAGGCATGACTAAAGTTGGTCACCAAACAGAGAAAGAAGCAGTTTCATCTCCAGCTGCCAGTGAAGGAGATCATTCTGTCATGGTCTCACCGACATCCTCCAGCTCGTCTGAGGGTCATAAGGAGAAGCAACCATCTGAACACCAAGGAGAAGAGAGTAGATGGAAAGTAGAGGAGGATAGACTGACAATGTCACCCACAATGTCACCCACAGGAAACCATGGTCACCATCGCTGTGCCCAGTGTGGAGAGGCCTTCAACAAACCTAGTCAGCTGCGCATACATGCCAGAGTACATACCACTGAAGGAACCTTCACCTGTCATGACTGCTCTGTCTCCTTTCCCTCCAAGTACATCTTGTCTAAACACGAGCGCTCGGAGGAACACTTCCTGCGAGTGGAAGGTGTAGAGTTGGCCACTACCACAGGTTCAGATACCAACCCCAGGCCCTTCAAGTGCAAGGAATGTGCCATTGCTTTCCGCATCCCTGGACACCTGGCCAAGCACCTGAGGTCCAAAGGCCACCTGATGACGCTGGAACGGCAAGGAAAGCTTCCAGCCCACAAACTGGAGCTGTTGCACATGCACCCTGATGGTGAGGACGGTTTGTTGTTATCTCCAAGTGAGCCAAAGGCACCTGGCAGCCCAGCATCCTCAGAAAAAACGGACAGTGCCAGTGAAGCAGAAGAGGGTAAATCATGAGATTTGCTCCATTGGAACTCACTCATTACTGCTGGGATAAAACTTACCTCTACCTGATTTTTTGCTACAAGGAAATCTTTTTTCATGTGGAAGCGTTGTGATTAAAAGCAAAGTCCTTTGACTCCTTTGTAAATTAGATGGCAATGGAATGTCATTTGTGAGCGGTCACGTATTGAATATGTTATGGATATCACTGTGTCATCATTTGAAAAAGGAAAGAACATTGGAAAATCATCTTTTTTTTTGGAACATCAACAAGCGCTCAATTTTATGTTGTTTGATAAACATATTTCATGGAAATTTGTGATATTATCTTCAAAGGATTGCTAGAAGCTGTGACTTTTTGTTTTCTAATTCACATGGCAAGGGAGATGCACCTCTTTTTTTCTTCTTCATTTAATGATTTTAGACAATTTTTAACTGCACCGAGAGGAAGAATATGCGATCTACAAGAAATGGAAGCAGGACAGTAGTACATTTGCACAGTGGCTATCAAATTTGTGGAGTTCAAGACGGACGGCATTCAGAGTACAGAGGAAGCACTTCAGTACGGATAAGCTCGTGAAATCAAGAATGTTTTATTTTATTCAAATATACATACCTTGCTGAAATCGTTTAGATATTTTTTAACTGATCAACCTGAGTGAATGTGGACATATCATCGTATTATTTTTTCCCTACTTTTTATGTCACAGATCAGTGTTCATTTCATGTTTGGATTACATAGAAATTATTTGGAAATTAAGAATTAGAACTAATGAATTTTCTGACATTCAGAATGACACTACAAAGTTCTTGCAATGACTGTATAGTGTATACAGACATTTTTATTCTCATTCAAAAGAATTAAAACTTTTTTCTGTAAGATATTACTTTTATTGAAAGTATTAATAGAGTGATATTGCAAAGAAACACACTTGTTGATTTTATTGTGGTATATATATATATATGTATAAGTCTCTTTCCTATTGCCAAATACTTTTCAAATCTTTTGCCAGAATCAAAGAAACTTTCCATTGTGGTAGAAGGTGAATGGTCGTTTTAAGCCTGTAGGCGTCTTGTGCCAACGTTAAGAGTTCTTTATAGCGGGGTAGTGTATAGTTATAACGGGACCGCGTTTCACAATGCACCGACTGACATTGACATTATATTGTATTGACCACATCATAGTCATGTGCCAAATTTATTGTGCTTTTTTTTCTTCTACCCCACGATGGGATGTGTTGAAACTATTTCCTGAAGTTCCAAGGTTTAACAAAATCCATGCTGACTAAATTCTATGCAGCTTGATTGTAAAATGATGTACAATGTAGTTTATAGAGGCTAAACCAATAGTGTGATAGCAATAATTATTTGATGCTATTTTGACAAAGTAAACAAATTAGTGTATGACTTTTTTTTTTTTACTAGAACTTATTAAATAAGAAATGACACAATGCTGCTGTGTAAACCAATAATGTCAATCACTACTTACAATTCCATGTAAAAAGAAAGAATGAATTAGTCATTGCCAAGTATTCATGTACAGAAACAAGAATTTGTTACCTTTTTATGTTTGGTGTAAGGTTTGGTGTTAGTGTAAGTGTTAGATAACCAATGAATTAACCTGCAAGGATTCTTTCATGAATTGATATATATATTATATTTTACACCAATATTCTTAACACTGGCAGAAGCACCTCCCAGACCTGTGTTGAATCGTTAAGGCAGACATGTCTTGAGTTTGGTGTAATAGATAGCACTGGTGTCATGCTAACAACAAGTGTTAAAACCAACATGAAATCCCTAGTGTTAAATTGATTTAATGTTAATGCACATTCGGTCAGATTATTGGAATCTATGTAACAACAAAAAAATACTTCATTCTCAGGTACAGGTTTATAATATTATGTGGAAATTTTTGCACTTTTTAAAGGGAAACTTTTTTATTGAATGAAGCACAAAGTAAAGACCTTCTTCCAAAGAGTTTTGGAAAATTTGCTTTATCAGTATATCTTTATTAAAACAGGAGGGAAATTTTCTCTATATGTGTATAACTGTTGAAGATTACAACAATACACAAGAACTTGTGGGATTGTATGGTCGTACACCTGAATGTTTGCAAAACAAAAAAAAAAAAAACAAAAATAGAAGGTTGGAACAAAAGATGTATACTGTACTTTCTTTGAAAATTCTACTTACGGCAGGATAAGTATTGTTTGAAATTATTGCCTTAGAAATCAAAAGCTAGTTGAGCATCATTGTAAAGAAAAAAATGATATACATAAGTAGGTATTCAGGTGTTGTACAATCTAGCATTACTTTCGCGGAAAAAGTTGTGGTTTCGAAAAAGAATTTGATGTAAAGAGGTTTTGACAGGGTACATGTATATGTAATTCGAATTTGAAGGGAAAAATGAAACTTGTTCTATGTAAAGATATAAAATATTTTCATACATTGTGTAGTTTTGCATAGTCACCAAAATCTATAACGAGAAGTTACTAGCTCACAAACTCTGTTGCCTTAGTATGTGTTTAGAAAGAGAAATAGAAATATATATATAAATATCTATACATATATATTTAAATGGCAGAAAAATTACTCTTAACCTACCGATGTAGTGTACTGGCCTACATAGAGTTTCAAAACAGTATTGGGATCTTTATTAGAAGTAGTTATATGTGATCAAATTTCAAATCTATATATCAAATGAAACTATTTTTGCACAAGGTAGATGGCTCAGTGATAACTGTGAAGATGTAGAATGGATAATTTGTGTACGTTAGAAAGGTCTGTTAACATTGCTGGTTGTTTGTAGTCGAAGAATCTGTGGTGTGGTGCTTAGCCCCTTTCAAATGGAATCAACTGAATGAAGAAAAAAAACATAGCTTAGGTGTAGAATGTAAAATGTTACTTTCATCATGTAGATGAACCAGACAAGTCTTTACTAGTAAACTTGCATCTTATAGATTGTCTTTCAAACTGTTTTGGGTTTCAAAAAAAAAAGAAATTATGCCTGGCTGCAGTATTACTATCCAAAAGTGACCAATGTACAAGCCAATGTGGTATGTTCACACTCACAAAAGATTGGGGCTAGGAACCGTATGTACAGCATGATATTTTCAAAAGCATGTGCAGCAATGAGAACGTACCAAGCAGTTGAAAGTGTTGATGTTTTATGTGGTGAGCATATCAGCAAATTTTTTCAAAAAGAAGTTCTTTGCTGGCAAGTTCAATCATATGCACACGGAGAAACAATTCATGTCATGCAAGAGGCTGTCTGTCGTCTACGCACATGTTAACTATTGATTGGGGTAATTTTGTGACAATGTTATAGCTTTCTTCTTAGTGTTTTTCACATAAAAGGTTTTGGATAAATATTACAAAAAGAGTAGAAATTAAAAACTTGACTTTAAGTGTAGATATTGAAGTGCAGGTAACTCAACCAACTCACATGCATATTTCTCATCCTCTCTGTCTCTATCTCTTTCTCCCTCTGTTACCCCTTTCCCTTCCCCTTCACTCACGTGAATGTCGTAAATTGCGGTGATCATTTTCCTTTATGAAACCTCTCTTGCCCAGCTAATCTCACCTCAGATCTGGAGACGCTGATGAAAATTAACGATCGCGGGATGTGATTTTCAAGCTGTAAAGACAAGGATTTGAACCTGTGTTTTTGGTAGTTTGATCATGTTTCCTGGTGGGTCATTTTTGCTGAGGGTGGGAGAATTATTGTTTGATTAAGAGAGCAGCAGGGTCATAATTTGGTTGTTTATTTTTAACTTTGTTGAGAAAATATTGAATGTGTGTGGCATACCTGCAGGTTTTTCTTTTTCCACCTTCCTGAGCTGATCATGTGGCCACCCACCCCTCTTCAAGTTTCCTTCTTTCTCACTCTATTATCTTTTCTTTCACACTTTAACAATTTCTATCTATCAATGTGAACCTTCTTTTTTAACATGGACTCCCCCTCTCTTCTCTTGGCCCCATTTATTTGATTCTTTTCTTTTTTTCATTTTTTAAACATTTCTGTACCTTCTTGTACTACATTCTCTCACTATTCATTCTCTGTTTTGTGTCTCAAAATGTTCATTTTCCCTCACTCTTCCATTTTCTATGTCCCCCCCCCCCCCCCTGCCCGCCCTTCTCTCTCCTCCCCTCTCTCTCTCTCTCTCCCACTCTCTCTTTCTAAAACTCATTCTCCTATTTTCACTTCATGAATTGCTTGCCTCTTAAACTCTTACATCATTTTCAAAGCTCTCCCTTCTTTTCTTTACACCATTTTTTCATGAACTTTTCTGCCTTGCTCTTGCTTTTCACGAGTGCTTGCTCCCTCGGGTTCTGTCCTCTCTATACGTCTTCCCTTATTCACTTGTTATCTTCTTGCTCTTGTTTTTTCCTTAATTTTAATCTTCCTGTTGACTCTCCAAGACTCACCAACTACTTTGGGGCCTGCAGAAAAACAAAACAAATTACAACCGATGTCCATAAAAAACGTTCAAAGTTCCTTTCTGCCAAGGAAATACCCTCCAATTTTTTTTTTTATTTGATTCTCCTTACTGGACAAGAGAGATAGATGCCCATTTGTTGTTCGTTCTTGAAATAGAATGATAATCTTCTTGCAAGAATTTTTGTTTCCACTTGGGGGGAAAATGTAATTGCCTCATTCTCAGGAGGGGGAGAAGAAAATTGGTCACTAAGTGAAGGGAGGAAATGGCGTGGGCTGGCAAGGGAACTATGACTTCTATTTTGAGGCTGATAAAGGGGGATGTTGTTTTAAAATGTTGCTTCGGATATCCCTACTCTTTTTTTCATACCTTGCATATTTGTATGTTCATATATTTTTTACTGAAATGACTGGCTGGCTACATTTTAACGCTCTTAAATCTCTTTTTGGAAACGGAAGCGTGTCAAGTCATATACTTGTACCGCCTTTCTGGCTCTGAGCAGCCAAAACGATTTTGTAATCTTTAACTTGAACAGTACCATTTTCTCTTAAATTGGTATGTTTTCAGCTTTTTACTGGCAAACAGCTCTAAAAAACAAGTCACTGGTAGCTATTTTCTATAATTTAAAAGGACCTTACAATTTTTCCACTCAATAATAAATTCAGTGTTGTCATTGATGCTTTCAAAAAAGTGATTACAGACAACTTGTAATGTCATGCAGATTTCAATTGCCAATGTTGACTGTTTCTTCTTTTTTTATGAACAGAATTTTCCTAATTTTTAAGAACTTTTTAGAACAGAAAAGATGGATCCTTATCTGCAGGTACAAAATAATTACTTCTTGAAGTGATATGTGCATGTTTGTGACTTGTCCAGTGCTATATTTACATGCATAGCTTGTTATTCAGGATGTCTTGTGGGGTCTTATCTCTTGATTTCTTTTCAATATTTCGGTTGCCAACTAGATCCAGGGTCATATATCATGTTATCAGTCTAGAATCTTTCTTTGGTGAAGTTTGAGGTACAGGTTTGGTTTAGTATGAGAGGTATCCCTAAAGTAGCTTGTTGGCATTGATCAATAAATGATTCTCTTTTCTAATTTCTAATCATAAGAATTGTGATATTTGCGATAATGGGAAAAATTGAATTTGTGCCATTTTTTTTTTCCTTATATTTTTCCAAATAAAAAGTAAAATACTTCGATATTTTGTTAATCCAATTCCAGACAAGTTTGATTTTAGCTCTCCTCCTTCTCTTTCTGTCTTTCTTTTTTCATTAATGATGATCATGTGAGTTGGAGAAAAAGTTGGTGAAGCAACGATACATAAACACTTATTGATTTGGTGAGATTCTTCTGAAAGTATATATGATATTTGTCATGAATGTATGTTTATTATTTCAATGATAAATGCACTTGGATTGAAAAAGCCACCAGAAAATGCTATGTACGCTGTGTGTATATTCAATATTGCCTTAAACAAAACAAAAACTCATCTCTGGTAAGCAAAAAAAAATGAAGAAGAATTATATCGCAGAATGTACTTAAAGAAAGATGTATACATGTATATAAAAATACAAAAAAAGGTTTGATATTGGTTATGGATCACAACAAAGTTATTGACATTCTTAGTTTATAGAATTATATTATTGATTTATGATTCTTTTTTTGTGTGTCTTTAGACAAAAATCCATATTATTTTGAGAGCTGATCTCAGCAGGAGAGTTGTTTCAGAAATAGTTGGTATCTCATTGGCCAGAATCTGAATGTATCATCTTGTCGAATTGCATTGAAGGATATCTACCCTAACAATGGTAATCATGAAATTGAGTGGTTGCAGTTGTCGGTAAAAACCTGTTTAGTCATGTACAAGCGAGAGGAACTGTTCTGTGCAAATAGAATTTTTCTTCTCCGTCTACAGTGTTGCAAATATTTGGTTCAAATATGAAATCATGTGAAATTTAGGTATCTGTTTTGTATCAGGATGGTAATAAAGCATATCAATGGCCGCCTGCAAGAAAGTTGTTACTGCAATCGACAATGCATAGCTCTTATGGCCTTCTTGCAGACGGCCAACAATATTGCCTGTTGAGAGCCAGAAGGCATTAATTCAATGTCAATGAGATTTATAAGTTAATGCCCATCTGGTGCTCAACCTAGGCTGCTCCATTTTGATCTCAGTCAATTTAGTTTAATATTCACAAGTCAGATATCAGATCATCATATCTAACCTTTAGATGTTTCTTGTGTTTGTCAAAAAGTTTCTATTTTTATTTTTACGCTGCTTTGTACATTGTATCCACCATTGGCGAGTATTGACTTTTGAAATGGATGTAAAAGCTATCTTGTGTTGAAAAATGTACAGTTATATCTCATGGAACTTGTATGGAGCCTGAATTTGTGGAAGCAACTCGAATGTCTTGAATTGTACTATGAAAATATTGGTCTGATACGTAATTGATATTATGAATGAATTCCCTCTATTATGGGAAGGATGGCAAATATATTTGTATGTGAAATTATGTGAAAAAGTAGGATGTTTGATCTCTTTTAAACTAAGAATGAATTTTTGTGCTATTTTGAAGGTAAAGATTTCTGCCAGTCATGATATGACGTTTAGTGTAGTAGGTAATGAGAGAAAGCTTCAAACGTAAATAATTTGTTTAATGATATTGTTTGAAAAAGAAGGAATTTTTTGTTTTGATCCAGAAAATATTGAAATTCATGTTCCAGCTTGGAAGTAACAGTGTTTTAGCTTGTTTTTTGTTTTTGTTTGGTATCAAAAGTATACTTCAATAAAAGCTGTTTTGTTCTTGAAATGACAAATTTAGTTCACTTGAAAAAAAATCATATTAGTTTTTATTAATTTTGTCAGTGATAGAAAGTCACAAATGACTCTTATTTCTGCACAAAGCATAGATACATATTAACCATTTTTTCTTAAATAATACTGTTGGTACTTGGTTAGAAGCAGAAGGATGTTTCACAAGATTACATGATTATTTTCTTTCTTTTTACTCAATACATAAACTATTTTGATAGTTCAACTTTTATTTTTATTTTTAAAAGCTTTGTATTCAATGCCTTTAATCTCCATTTGAATTTCATTTTGACATGTAACTGAACTATTTGCATTATGAGATTTCCTGCTGAGAGCCTAATGGCCATTAACTTGTATCGTTTTAAATACATTTTGCATTTCTGGATCTTAAGCAGAAAAAATAGGAAAGGTATTACTAGAATACTAGTGAGCTTCCTAGCATTATGGTATTATATTCTCACATTTTGGGATACCTACAGAGTATACACCCTTATCTTGCTCTCTTATAGGAATAGTATCGTTTTAATTTGAAAGTGATGTTGTTATAGTTATTAAAAGTGATCTACGTTCATTTTTTTCAAAGCATTTTCATGTGCGTTCGTATGTCAAAAGGCTGTGTAGAAATTCAGAGTTTATATTGGCCATTCTGTCTTGAAAGGCAATAAGTAGATTATTAACTCATTACAATCGCGATTTAAATTACTCTTTATTGCTGTGGATAATATATCATTTTTTTAAAAGGTCAGAAAACACAAAATGATAATTTATATCAGTGGAGTTAATTATTTTGAATTATTGTTTTGAAATAATGTGGCTTTTATATGAAAAAATATAGATTTTGTGAACTGAGTGTTAGATATGTCCTTTTTTATATCACATTTAACTATTTTTATTTGGGCATATACTCTTGAAACAGAATTTTTTCAAAACCATTCCATGATATATTAGTAAATTTGTTACACTTTTTTGTTAGCCATTTTGTGTAATTTCTACTATTTAAGATATTGGCCATGTACTATATATCATTATGTGTAAAAACTATTAATCATTTTTCCATTGCCAATGAGCTCATTTTATGGTAGGCTTCATTCCAGTCTGAAATATTTATTTCTTTATGTCACTTTAAAAACTTAGATGTGCACATGACTATTCAATAAGTGCATGAGACTGAATGTTTGACTTAGGAAATGTAACTTTTGTCAGGTTTGGTGGTATTAACTCATTTTTATTTTATATTTGACAGTTTTCTTTCTCACATTTGGTTTTCCAGTACTTTTTAAAAGTGTTTTTGATTGTGGAGGTTTTGTAGGTAATTAACTCTTTGCCGATCTGAGATGTGGTATAGATAAATGAGAAATTGTGCTTTTAAAATGCTGAACCAAAGACTATAGCATAATGAAAACTTTGGTAAAGCTTAAGTACAATTTCATAATTGAATGTATACTCTTATGTATAGTTGTTTTAGATATGTTTGTATGTAGATCTTTTAAGATGACATTATTATGTTGTTATTGTATATATTCTATATGCCCAGACTATTGACTTTCATTACATTAAATACATTTGTGTATAAGTCTATCAGAAATACTCTCTTTTTGCATCTGTTTTATTGTAGTCAGTATTTTTGTACAGTTGAAGGAAGGTTCAATTCCAAACATAATTATTTTAACATGTGACAACTTAGTAATTTCATTGAGCACTGGGCATAACAAAATTCAGTGTTTAAAGTTCATAAAGAACTGTTGAAAACACATCTACATAACAACAACAAAAATCTAATTCAAAGGTGTATTGGAGACCAAAATGATGTTTAGGTAGATGTAATCTTAATGAATTTCATATAAATCATTAATATGACAGTACAAAATTAGAAACATCATTGAGAATCTACATCATTTTTCTATGCTGACACTTTTCCCTTTTTCTAAAATATTCAAACATGTACATTCTTACATTCTAAGACAAATTGATAAATTAATTTCTAGTATATGTACATGTGCTACTTCCATACTCTAACATTTTAAAAATGCAAATTCTGTTCTACATTCTGCTTGATAATAATAGTGGATATGAAATGATTGTGATGATGATGGTAGTGGTGGTGGTTGAGTGGTGGCTATAATGTTGATGATCAGATTAGGATTATTAAATGATGAGATGGTGGTTATCATGGGGTTGTGATGTTTATGAATGATAATGGATAATTCTGAAAAAGATGATTGTGAGGGTGATGACATTATTGTGTCATTGTTGGTGAAAGTTGTAATGATGATGATGCAGATAGAGATGATATGATGATGATGATGATTGGCACAAGGTTATACTGAGAAACAAACCTATTTACCAGTATAAACTCAACAATACTTCATATTTTCTTATCTATTAATATTGACCAGTTATTTTCCTCCAATAACATATAGATACATTGCATTATTCCCAGGGGAGGGGAGGGGATACTCACATACAGGGATGTGCCGCTCTAAATGGGTCACTTTTTTACACTAAAATCCCTATATATTGGTCCCATTTTTCAAAATTTCCCAAATTTTCGTCGTGAAAAATGGGCTTTACTTCGAGAAAAATACCCCAAAATTTATGAGTACCCCCCCCCCCCCGGGGCATTATTCAATGCAAGTCGTATGTTTATCTAAAACAAAGCCGAATCTGTGAAATACAATAGGCATTTCTTCATTCTCTGTATACATTAACAACTGGTAAAATGCCGTTTGTGACTTTCGGAGTTTGACAGACTTTCATTCAAATCTTGAAGCACATTGTTATTTTCAATATTCCTATTGTACGTCATGTGCTCTGTTTTAAGGGGGAAGGCTGCATTTGGGGGTAAACCAATCGAAACCTTCTCCATCGTATCTAAGACGTGTGTGAAACTGAAACTTCCGAGATTGATGCTATCATAATGAGTAACAAACCTATTTTATCAAATCTGGTTTAATTTTTCCGAACGACCTTTGTAAAAAAATCAGCTGATGTCAATTTTGTTACTTTTCTGCATTGTTTCTGACTTCTGGGCTCATTAGATAACGATGGAAATAAATGGTGAATTTCTCGTTTTCGTATTGTTCTCGTTTTGTTTCGAAGGTACCTGGATAAAGGATGAAGCGATAACACCGAAAATGTGGTATTGATTTTAAGGAGAGTCGTCGGTGAAAGCATGAACCCTAGCTAACATGGTGAATTGCACTGTCTGATATCCGTGCATATGACCCCCTCGTCCCCTCCCACCCCTTTCATTCTCTATTTCTCTCTATATCTCTCATTCAACCCCCCCCCCCCGCATCATCTCATTTTATGTAGCTGTTACTTTCACTCTAGATTTTATCTCTCCCTTTTCGTTAATAAATAATTTTATTTCATCATTGAAATCTCATTTGAAATACAAAAAATATATAAGATACTTCGACAATGAAGAAGTTTGGAAAGTAATAGAAATGTTATAATGATCATTTTAAAAAATTATGTTGATCTTGTATATAATTCATTATGTTTCATTTTGCTTGTTTTGTAAATAGTCTACATGTATTTTGAAATGGAATAAGAAAGTCCCTCTGAAGATGTAAAGAGAAAGAAAAAATCTCTCCCTTTTCGTCCACCCATCCCCCTTTCACTCTTTTCCTTTTAGGCCCTTTCTTACTATTTTTTAAATAATTTATCTATCTATATATTTTGTTATTTATCTATCTATCTGTCTGTTTATTTGTTTTGTGCTCTTTCTTTTGCTGTTTTTAGCTTTCTATACATCTATTTATTTATCTATCTGTCTGTCTATCTACACTTCAGTCTTTCTTCTTCTTCTTCTGTTTATTTTCTTCTTCTTCTTTTTCCGTCTTCTTCTTGTTCCTCTTGATTTTCTTCTTCTTGTCCTTATAATTGGTTGCATTCATTTTCTTCAATTCATCGGTCGCTCTTCATAGTAAAAAAAAAATTAAAAAAATTCACTCTTGTAACGCCTTTAAGATATGTAGGTACCCCAGGCTATCACCCCTCATAGTTTTCATATTTCATTTCACATCTCAACAAACTATAATGCTTTTAGTAGTATATCAAAATGGTATAATAATTATTTACACGTTTATCATAATATACTGCATGTCGAGACCAATTTTTGCTCGTTTGAAATACATTCAATTATTGCTTTTTATTCATTTCACTTCCGAAAGAATTGGAATCATGTGCTGGAAGCGTATGATTTAGAAATCATGATTATATCCATGCGACAACTTAAATTCTAAAATTTCAGCAATGGCAACATTAAACGCCTTTTTTTCCTCCCCCCCCCCCCCCCCAATTTTTTGGACCCTCCGACAGACCATTATATTGAAAATCATTCTCTGAATAACATATTTGAATACATGTACAAATAAATATCATATAATACTTCAGAATAAGATATACATAATGAATATCAACCATGAAAAGCGATGACCGAAAGCGTAGCATATTGATAATAATAATATGACAAAAATTATATACAGAACATAATAATAATAATAAAAAGGATTATTAACAAAAAACATATCATTTAAAAAAAAACTTCAAAAAAAAAACTAAAACACTGAAAGAAAAAAAAAACTATTACATTTAAAAAAAAAAAAAATGTTAAGAAAAGAAAGGAAAAAAAGTGACATCATGACTGAAAATAATTTGGGACATTCAATCAAATAATGCCATCAAACGATCAAAATCCTCTCAAAATGAAACGCTTTATTCGTGGCAATACATGTGGACCTATTTATTAACACATCTCTCAGTACCTTTTTGACTTTGATCGGACCGGGAAAGGAGCGTCAGTATAAGCTACAGGGGCGGATCTAGCTTTTTGCTAAGGGGGGGGGTTTGACCAAAATAATGACGATGCAGAGCATCGTCCACGAGCCGCGTAGCGGCGAGCCGATTTTTTTTTGGGGTGTTTATTTGAACCCCGTAAGTGATGTTTTCCTGGCATCTATTAACACAATGGAGACCATAAAAGCAGTGCATGATAACGTCTTTTTAAATCAAGTAACAGCTTAATACACAGTTATATCCAGCCTTTTTATCATGTGTTTGGTTAAGTTACCAGATGAGTTGAATATCTTCTCACAATATTTGCACTTGAAAGGGTTTCTCTCCAGCGTGCGTTCTTTTTTCTTTCTTTTTTTTTTTTTTTTTTTTTCTTTCTTTTTTTCTTTGTTTTTTTTTGTTTTTTTGGGCCGCCCAAGGGGGGGTTTGAACCCCCTAAACCCCCCCCCCCCCGTAGATCCGCGCCTGAGCTATTTGATGACGTAATAGATGACTGACGGCTGGCTAACTTCCAAGACTGATGTTAAATGAGATGAAACGGGGAAAGGTAAAATTAAGCTTCAAAATGTGCAACAAATGTATATCACTTTGAATGTTAATCTTTAAAAATTGGGATTTTGCCATTGATTTAGCACCCCCCACCAACCCCCCCCCCCCCAACAACCCCCCCCCCCCCCCCCCCCCCCCCCATCCCACACACACAATCACTCTCTCCCTTCTTGTTTAACTATCACCCCGCAGCTGAAGAGCGGCGTCTATGTTGACAAAACTATATTTTGGTATGTCGCCCTCTGTCGTAGGAACTGTGCTGCTGCCTTCATCCCATCCTCCCTCTTTTGTCCACGAATTTCTCTTTTTGTTCATTTTGTTCATTTCATTCTCTGGAATATTCATAAGGAGGGTTTTCTGTTCACTGTCCCTTATATCAATCTCTCTATTTGTTTGTTTATTAATTGAAATGTCTGTTTTGTGTTCCTTTGTTTACCTAATTGTGGGTTATTACTTTTGCATTTAAAAGTATCTTTTCTATCTGCTTAAAACATGCAAGACAGTGTGCACTTATTCAGCTGCTTGTGAACAATACTGCATGGGCTTGACCAAAATTATCGTTTAGAGTGGGAAGAACGAAATTACCCTCTTTGGACTGTAGTATCTTGTTCAGCTTTGTTTTTCAGAGAGGCTAACATTATCTGTTCGTTATGCAGTGTTTTTCTTGTATCTCCCCCCCCCCCCCCCAAGAAAAAAAAAAGGGGAAAAAAAAGAGATTGTACCTGTCATAATAAATATCACTCAAACTTGTCATAGCACCCTTTTTATCTACACAATAAAATAACATTCTCAATTGTAGACATATTTCGTGAATTTGGTGAACTATTAACTACATTCTTTATGGTTCTCCGTTAAAAACATTAAAAGAGGGATGGTCACTAACATCGGTTGTAGGAAAAGGTTTCAATGAGATGTTTCACTTGCTCCAGTTTATGTCTATACCATACCATGATACAGTGACGAAGCCTGCATGGGTCGTTAATGTAATAGAGACGATATACCCAGGCTCTAGCGACATCAATATTCTGTTAGATACTGCCCTCGATTCTCAAGCGGCTCCGGTCATCAAATTGCAAATTTTCGTCCTAGGGAGGTAATTTATAAGTAGGGTGGAAAACTAGGTTACGAAGAATAGGGAATATCATTAAGAGGAACAGAATGGATACAGGTGAATATGTTATACCGGTAGTAGAATCCTAAGAAATTGAATGCTTTTTAAGATTTTAGGAAAGTTAATTTTCTCTTTGGAGTTAGAAAGGCGTCGAGTCATCATTCTGCCCCGAAATAACGTCCTTCCGGCTCTGAACAAAGTATGATGGCTTTTACGATTCACCTGTCTTCTCGGGCTCGTATAGGGCAATGAAGAAAAACAAAAACAGATTAACATAGCTAAAAATCGGCTTCTCTTGAGCGCTACAGGCTACACGATGACATATCATTTTTTTTGTCCTTCTTCTATTTCTACTTTTGTATTGCATGACTTAAAGTTATTTTCTTACTGATTGACATAACCTATACAGGGCCTACACGTTGTAGGGTAAGGTGATGGACATAGCATCTTTACATTTTCAAATATGATTTTTCTTCCCCTCAGAATGCACAGGCCAATCATTCAGAAAAGTATAAGATTTTGTTTTAATAGCCGAATACTTTTTCTTCTGAATTTAGGACATTTCAGCCAATGAGATGTCAAAGTATGGCCTCTAGTTTTTTTGTTATGAAAAAGTTGCACGAAAATTAGAATCTTGCATGGAGGAAATTGAAAAAGGCATTGCTTTATTAAAATGTTTTTGTTTTGTTTTTGTATCACACTGGTCATTGTGCGGATTTTTCCGATATGGATATTTCGATGTAAACATGAAATATGAGGAAGACGCGATGGTACGGTTTGAAAGATAATCTTGGGGCCAAGAGGTTCAGTGGCGTAGCCCGTATCCAGTAATTTTGAGGGGGAGGGTAATGTCTGGATTCGGGAGATGGGGCGGGGGTAGGAGGCCTTACGGGATGAAAATGTGAGAAAATATAGCCATATGTGTTATAACTATAATTATGCATACATTAAAAGCGAATGGAGACAAACTGCATGGAGAGGTGGCGAAGAGACGGGTACATGGGTAGGAGAGGAGAGGGGCAATATAGGCAGAGGCCAGGTGGGGGAGAGAGAGAAAGAGGGAGAGAGAAAGAGAGAGAGAGAGAGAGAGAGAGAGGGGGGGAGAGGGGGAGAGAGACATGTCGATAGAGAGAGAAAGGGGAGAGACAGAGGAGAGAGGAGAGAAGGGAGAGAGAGAGAGAGAGAGAGAGAGAGAGAGGGGGAAGGAGGGGGGGGGAGGAGGAACCAGGGTAATGGACGTGGTGGTAAACTCGAGAGAGGGACATAATGAACAGTATACAGATGGAACATAATTATATATTAACAACGAAATTTAAGGGCTACAGAGTTAAAGGGATGTGGGGGTGGAGAACACAATATTTTATTGACTAATTCTCAAAGGACACCATAACCTCAGGGAGTCATCAGCGAATGTAATACGTGTTTGTGATTCACTGCACGTCATTCATTATCATAATTCATCTCTTCGCTCCACTCTTCGTGTGCGCGCTGACCACGGTGATGACTTTATGTACAAAACCGAATGTACAATTTCGTGTGTGTTGGCATACGACTTACTCGTACATAAGCTCCTACACTTTCCCGCGCCTTTTCCCTATCGTCTGCAAACCCAAAAGCTCATCCGGTAGATAGATAAGTATACAACGTTAGAAAGCTTGCTAAGAAAGCTTTGTCTTCCTCCGAAAGCACACGCGGATACACCTTTCCGTTATTTTTGTATACAAGGGAGACGCATTCGAATTCTTCAACTCGAACAAAACCACCTGCCAGTGTTGCCCGCACTGCACAGCATTTCAGCATTTACTTTCTGGAGAACCCTTTCCGGATATACGGCATCTACATTCAAAGGTAAGTGGCGGCGAGTTATATGGAGACATTAATGAATTTGTTTATGTCTGAGTTTTAGCTGTATGTAGTGTATGACTATGGCTCCAGACAGTGCGTCTTCAAGTTTATGTTGATATAATTTGATCGATCGGGTATATTATACTTCGTATCTTTGTCTGTAGTCAACCGGCTGTTTACAGCGACTGTGGTAATGGCTCATTGAATTTGATACGCAGAGCACAATAATGTTCACTTAATTTATGTCAAAACGTCATGTTAATGTCATTAAGGCATCGATTTGTTTACCAAATGCAGACTGGTGACACATCTTATAAGAGAAACGGCTGTCTGTCGTAGATGTTAAAGTAGTTTGAAGGTACTTGCTTTTGTTAACCATTTTAATTCTTTGCTCTTTATAACGTTGTCTTTGTAAATAAAGTTGCTCCCTAAAAAGATGAATATTATTATATCCTTTTATTCATTTTTTTAAAGAACGAAAAGTGTATAAGAAAATGGACTGAACACTCATTTCTGTTAGGCAAGTGTCTACTTTTACATGTATGTTCATTTCAATTCTCAAATTACAATGAAACGGCGATGGATGAAATTGCTGTTCTCGTATTTGTTTTTCAGTAGTAGCAAAGTAACTTTTCATATTATATTCATATTTGCTGAAATATGACTATGATTTGAAAAGTTCTATAGTTATGTTTGGTTAAACCCGTCCCTCTGATATTACATTAATGTCTTACTGTCTTGCCAAGAGACATTAATGCCGGGCGGGACTCGAACTGCAAACCATGCCATCGACAGTCCAGAGTGACGTATCCACTATATACCACGACACCGATGCGTATAAGGATTAACGTATCATCACCACTGATTCAGAATTCATGTTTTACATTTGGCCAGGTCAGTGATGTCGGAGAGGTATCCCACGAATGAAACATGATCACCCGAAAGAATATCTAAAGGGTCACCGCAGTTAGAGGTCCCTCCCACAAGTCAAAGACCATTACATTTCCGACTTAACACATTCCGTGATATTACTGAACAATAGGCGGTGTCACACAGAGGCCAAAAATCCGGATTTTAGTTATCCGGATTTTAGTTATCTTCTTAATTGCTGTCTGTCATCAATTATCCCATTAAAAATCCTTTAAAGAAGCAAGAAAATTCTCCCTTGAAAGGATTTTTCAAGGGATTTTTTAAGGAATTTTTCTGTGTGACACCGCCTACTAATTGGGAAACAAACAAGCAAAACAGATTAATAAATGACCAGAAGTTAAGTGCTTTTTTGCATTTATTGATATTATGGAAGATAGTGATTAAATGAAGATCGTTTCACAAGAAAAGAAATGAATGTGGCCTTCACGGTTGTGTGGACTATCATCAATCTCAGGATCATGTTATGTTGTGCATAATGTCTCATGTTACACGACTGTGGATATATACGACAACAATCTATACTTCAATCTATTAAACAGCGTGTTTGCAAAAACATATGCGACATTCAATACATTAGGTACTAAGGTAGATTGATCAGAAAGGACAACGCCGCCGGCTTGTCCGTTCTTTTTTTTATGCAGGTGAGCTTGGATTTTACCCCATGTATAAGCCGCGCTCAGGTGTATACCGCATCTATTTGCATTTTGGACACTCATGTATAAACAATGCATCTAACGAGAGAGGTGCATGGAGGGGAGAACAGGGAGGGGACAGTGTGGTGTGCCTCTCTACGGGGAGAAGCGGTCCTAGAGGGGGTGCTTATAGGCCCCAGCACGCCCCCCCCCCCCATTAAAACTAAAACAAAAACTTCAACGGCTTGCCTTTCCAAAGTATTGATTATAATTTGCATCAAGCGAAGCACACGTCAAAAATGAATACAAGAACCCCGCCTCCCAAGCCCCCCCCCCCCCCTTCCCCTGCCCTAAACCACAAGCTCCCCGACGAAATTATTCTTCTGGAACGCGCCTGTCTACGGGGTCTTTTGAACACGTATTCTCGGCCCGTGGATGATATACAGCGCAGGTAAACATGAGAAAGGTGTACTACCTAGAGACGAAAGCTCATCAAAATAAAATGAAATTGGTTGCCTCTCTCTCCCACTTGATGAAGGTGGTTGATTGCATTACCTATTGTTTGACATTTAAAAACAACCAGGCGCAAAACCATGCAGAAGAAACTATTTTGGGCAGCAAAACAAGAAAACAAGCACTGGATAATAAATTTTCAACATAACAAATATTAAAAATCGGTTTTCTGTTGACGCCTATACAAATAACAAAATCCGTCACGGCGTGGTTTCCTTCTTTGCGTTTCCTTCTTAGATTGATTTCTTCTTCTTTTTTTTTCTTCTAAACGTGCGGCTTCTGAAATTAGAGATTGATTTTAAAACGAAAGATAATTTGATTTTTAATGAAAGTTTATTTATATCAAACACACTTAGTTTAGGTATACCTGAGAATTTTCAATAACAAGATTATGCTATTCCAAATTAGCTTTATAATTCATTTATGGGCAATTCCATCCTAACATATTGTTATGATATTCATTACTGTATTGCATACTCTGGTGATTTTTTTTTTCTTTTTCAGAGAAGAAAAATAAGCTTATAGTGGATTTTGTTTTCCTACGAGTCAAGGAATGTTTAGTTAACCGACAAGTAAATATAAAGATCATTTCTTTTGACATGTTTTGCTTGCGTCTTCCCCCAATGCCTGTAAGATATAGGTAATGGGGTTGATCTATTTAGATGTTTCGAGAAGAGGGATGTGCAGTTTGAATGTTTTCGGGCAAAAAAAGCATGGAACCTTTATCCCAAATGCTTGCATTTCCCCCGCAAAAGAAACAATCTTAAGGGTGATTAATTTGTTTTGAATTATGTTCCTATTATTTCAACAGGTGACGCACATGGCTATTGAAATTACCCCGGGGCGGTGTTTCAAAAAGATCCTAAGTAGAACTTAACACTAAGTTGGACTTAAAAATTATGGAAAGCCATTAGCATCTTTGAAAATATTTTGTAAAAGTTATTTTGAAAGGCTTTAATTGTTTATTCAAATCATTCATATTTTCTATCATCAAGGAGATTTCATGTGCTGGATGTGGAATTTATAAAAAGTCTAAAATACTTGAATTTCTGCTTTGGAATATATTTCATTTTAAGACTCCAATGGCTGTCCATAAGTTTTAAGTCCAACTTAGAGTTAAGTTCTACTTAGGATCTTTGTGAAACACCCCCCAGGTTGGTTGATTTTTGGATGTTTTTTTTTTTGCGATCATGTACATGTACTTTATTTTGCCGTTTATGGTCCCAAAGCGTGAACTATGCTAATCGGCGTTAATATCTAATGATAAAAATAATAATATGTATAAAGCAATTTGCCTTTCATAGATGACTAAGCTGCCATCGGGTTACAGATCACGCGGCTATGGCAGTATAGGACAGTATGTGTCAAATTATTCAGAATCAACTATTTTTAGCTGATGATTATCAGTGTATTCTGCATGATGCATTGCTTATGCATTGCTTAGAAATCATTACGTGCATTTGTACATGGTATTGCGAGCTTTTAGCCTATCTTAGGTGAAACCATGACGTACGTATTACATTCAATCAGTTTCAATATGATTTTAAGGGGGATGGGAAAAACCAATCGTCACCCGTTCTTAATAATCTTAAGTGCAGTGAATGGCATAATCCCGCCAAAGAATTTGAGTGATTTGGTGCGGAGGTGTCGTGGTATAGTGGTTCATTCACTTGACCCTTAATCCAAGGGTCGAATCCCAGTTCGGCACTAACGCCCTTTGACAAGACATTCAATCCACAATAATGTAAATGGGTGCCTGTCAATTGCTGAGGTAATGATAATTGCTGGAAGAACATCGGTAAAGCTGACGAGGCTTCCCTTGGTAAACAATATCATTATGATTTTTATGAGCAATTTTTAGACTAGAATTAAATTTACAATCGGTAAAGATATGTGATGCCCGATTTGCCCCCCCCCCCCCAAAAAAAAGGAGTTAAAAGTATACAAATTTCATTATTGAAAATTCATTCATTACAATTACCCCAGACGGGATTACATTCCTCCGCACTACAGTATTACGTGCATCAAATGGAATCACCCTTCTCCCTAGCAACTAGCAAGCGTAATATACTGGACAATTTTAGCTCTGACAATGACGTATTATTGTATATGGCGCAAAGAAGTGTAGCATAATTATAATATCCACCATGGTATCTACGTTAGATGTTAAACCATAATTCATCACCGCCTGATTACGTAACATCGCTTTACCACCCTACACACATACGCACACACACAGTACACACACTGTCAGCTACGCTTGCTTGTGTATACCCTTTAGAACATGTAATAATCAATGTGTGCCCTGCTGATTATAATCTTGAGTAGAAAATGATCGAAGGTGAGAACTTTGTAATTATCACCAGGGTTGGGCCAATCTATCACTCGACCAAGAAGGCTTTTGTGTCCCGCTCTGCATGCACGAGAGGAATTCATCAAAACGCAGGGCGGGAAATATTGGAAGCTAAACGTGATTTATTGCGAATTTCGGGATGGCGGGAAAGCAGAAGGTATCGGGTAGAGTGAGGTGGTTTAAACGCAGAAAAGGGGGTAAAGGAGGAATGTGAACGTGTGCAGTATTGTGGAAAGACGAAAGCAGGGCGGAAAGAAATGTGTAAGAATGAGGCCTTAATGTGAATGAAGGCTTTATAAAGAAAAACTTTGAAGGGAAGATCTTGACTTCAAAGTTTGTAATGGTTTGTAATATTTTGTTTAAAGGCGAACTTGTTACATATAGGTCGTTAAACAACAACAAAAAAGAAAATTGAAATTTTTATTTATTTATTTATTTATTTCTAATCTTTTGACAGGGTAGCCCATTCACCAGCAAGTAGTGGTCTTCCATGGGGCCCTGCATGAACATATTTACATCGTTTATAACATTTATACAGAACAGTTACAAAAATAATACTCGTTTGCAAAATAAAC